CAAAGAAAGAGGACAAATTAAGCACCCTCTTCCCTCGACTATTCTTTGCAGGTTTCAAAAGTACAAATTACCTCCATTCAGGCCACTCACATCTCTTTAAACTTTGCTTATAGATGACTCCTTCAGAGTCATAATGCAGTCTGAACATCTCCATAGGTCCAAATTTTTGCTATATAAGGGAGAAGGTTGAGACTCACACAATACCCGAGTGATTGGGTTGGAACACAAAAAGTGGGACAGTGGCCCATTGTACTTGGACAATAAATAAGTTTGAACTGAGTGCAGAGATCATATGGCAAGTTGACCTTCCAACATTTGTTTTTGTTCCTTATGCACCAACACCATCTCTTTATCTGATGTGGCTACTCAGCAGAGGCTACCAGGACAAATAGATGAGGCAACTTGTCCTTTAATAGGTTTGTCTGCTCCTTTCTATTTTTTATTTTTTTTTTGATACTATAGTGCTAGTGGTGAAATTTCCATTACTGGGTATTTACTTTTTTTAACAAAAAAAACCCCAAAGAGAATAAAGCCTAGGGGATTAAAAATAAATTTACAACTGTTATGTTGGTGGATTGGTCCCAAGGAGAGACGCGAGACCAGGGACTTTCAAGCTCTTTTTATTAGGTAGTAGATCGGCTTGCTTTACATCGGATCGGCGGCGGCTTATATAGAACTTGTACCAGGCGCCGCGGCTAATGACAGCCGTTCTTGTCTTGTCCAGCAGCCTATGCAACGGTTCTGCCACGGTCGCCTTTTGGGGCAGGAAAACATTATAGAAGTTAATCAGTCCAAGAAACGCCTGCAGTTCGGTTTTATTTCTTGGTCTAGGGGCTTCCTTGATGGCCCTGATTTTTTTTCCCGTTGGGTGGATTCCGTGCTGGTCTAGGAGGTACCCCAGGAATTCGACTTTCTCGGTGCACAGCTGGCATTTTTCTTTTTTGACTTTCAGCCCCGAGTCTTTGAATTTTTGTAGCACCTCCCTTAGCCGGCTTTCTAATTGTTTCTGGTTGGTCGCTGACACCAGCACGTCATCAAAGTAGGGCACAACCCCCTTAATCTCTTGAAGTAGCCTCTCCATGAGGCTTTGGAAGACCCCCGGGGCCACGCTGACTCCAAACTGGAGTCTCTTGCAGCGAAAAGCCCCCCGGTGGGTGACTATGGTTTGCGCCTCTGCGGTTTCTGCATCGACCGGCAATTGCTGGTAAGCCTGTGCCAGGTCTAGTTTCGCGAAAACCTTGCCTCCCCCCAGTGAGTGCTGTACCACTGGGTGCTGTACCACTGGGACGGGATCAGCACTCTGTTGCAGGGCACGGTTGAGGGTGGCCTTGTAGTCACCGCAGATTCTCACCGACCCATCTGGTTTGACCGGGGTGACTATAGGGGTTTCCCACCTGGCATGGTCTGTTGGCTCGAGTACCCCTTGCTCGATGAGCTTGTCTAACTGCTCATCAATCTTGGGTCTGAGTGCGAAAGGCACTTGTCGGGGTTTCAGGCGGATTGAGGCAATGTTAGGGTCTGGGCTGAAGGATATTGGGGCCCCTCGATACTTGCCTAGGCTGCCGTCGAAGACCTCCTGGAAGTCCTTCGCAAGTTGCTCCTCCCAGTCTGCCTCGGCGACGTGGTTGATGCCCGTCACTTCTATTCCCAATGGCGCGAACCATTGCAGTCCCAAGAGGCTAGGGCGGTCTTTGTCCACAATAGTCAGGGGAAGTATCTCGGTGCGCCCTTTAAATGTAATCTTAAAGTGTCCTATTCCGACTACGGGAATGCGGTTTCCCTGGTAGTCTTTGAGGATGAGTTTCTGGCTTTCCAGTTCGCGCCTGTGGATGGTAGGCACCAGGCGCTTGATTTCCCGCCATGCAAACATGGAGAGGTAGGACCCAGAATCCACCTCCATTTTGCATGGCTGGTCTTCAATGCCTACCTCCACGCGTACCTTCCGGGCATCCTCGTTTGAAGAGTGGCCGATGACGACCGTTTGGTGGGTTTCTTCTTGTTGTCTGGCCTCGTTGAGACGTCTGTTCCTTCCGTTCCGGCTCCATCGGCTCTCGGCGTACCGGTATCTGGTTCTGGGGGGGGTGCCATCTCATCCCCGGGGGCTGCCGTCTCGTAGTCGGGGGGCATGGTTCTGCTTGAACCGGCACACCTTGGCGATGTGGCCCCGCTTGTCGCAATGGCGGCAGATTGCATCGAGGAACTGGCATTCTGACCGTGGATGGTCACCCCCACACCCGGCGCACTGGAACCCCGACTTACGACCTCGCTGCTCGCGCCGATCTTGTTCCGCCTGGAGTCGGTGGATGTCCTCCTCCTCGTCCTCGGTGTCAGAGAGGGAGTCGAGGTCACCATGATGGGTTGTGGTGGTCGCTTGGCGGCCTGGTTTGGGGTGCTTCTCCGGGGTCAGGGTCACCTCGGTAGTCGTCGGCCGGTCCGCTGCGCTCATCTGCCACATCCGAGCCGCCAATTTCCTGGTTGCCTCCGCTGCGGTCACTTCGGCGAGGGCGTCGGCGAGGGAGATGTCGCCCTTTGCCATTAGCCAGCTCTGTAGGACCGGGTCTTTGAGCCCAAGGACGAAACGGTCTCACAGGGCTTCATCCATGTCGGTGAAACCGCACATGCCCCCGAGGTTCCGTAGATCAGCTAAGAAGTCGCTGATGCTCTCACCCTCCTTCTGGTCCCTTCGGTAGAAGTCGTACCATCTGATGAGGGTGGGTACAGCGGGTGCATAGTGGCTTCACAACAGGGGTTCGAGGTTGGCCCAGTCCATTGTCTTCACATCCTCGGGTTTGGCGAGGGCCTTCGTCATCTTGAACACTGCGAGCCCGCAGTGTGTCAGGAACACGGCCCTTTTTTTCTGTCCATTCGCGTCCTTAAGGTTGCTGCTCTCCAGGAACATGAGGAATCTATCGATGTAGGATTCCCAGTCCTCTGCAGCCTGGTTGAAGGGTGCGGGTGGCGCGGTGCTGCTGGCCATCTTGTTGGTTGCTTGTGCCACGGTGCCACGTGCGTGGTGGGTCTCCGTCTCACGATCCCACCTTCGTCGCCAGTGTTATGTTGGTGGATCGGTCCCAAGGAGAGACGCGAGACCAGTGACTTTCAAGCTCTTTTTATTAGGTAGTAGATCAGCTTGCTTTACATCGGATCGGCGGCGGCTTATATAGAACTTGTACCAGGCGCCGCGGCCAATGACAGCCGTTCGAATCTCCCACGATCGGCTAGGCCAATCGCGGTCGATCCGTAATGGCCAATCAGTGCTGTACACTCAGCCAATCCGAATGCTGTGCGTCCTAGCCAATCAGAATACAGGGTTACAATAATGCAAATACAGAACAACAACTCTATTTCATGTGACTTTTAATGAATTTCATCCCCTAACATTAATAAATTATTTAGGCTAATATTTTTATACATGGCAACTCTTAAGATGTGTGGACTTCAAAAATTCCATAGCAAGTTGCCAAGTTTGAAAAACACTGACCTAACCTGTCCTGTCGAGTTGACTGTAGGATTGTCATTGAGACGCTGGAACTAATCATGCAAGTACTGTAAACAAGGCCAAACTGGCTGCTTACTGAGATATTCTTAAAGCCTTTTCTTCCTTGCAATTAAGCAATTATGAGAGTTAAATCATATAAAATTGGATTTTCTTTCAGTTCTATTTTCCAACCAAGTTCTCTCTAGCACCAAATATAAACCCCACAAAAGTGGTCAGGGCATTTTTAAAGTCCAGAACATCCAGATAATATTTGGAAATGTCTCAGATACTCCATAATTTATATGAGATTATCCAGATTTTGTACTCCAGTCTGAATATCCCTCCTAGTATACAAAAATTTCCAAAAAGTAAGAAAGTTTGTAACCGTGTATAGATACATGGTGAGAACTTCCTGCACATACCAAAACCAGAACAAATTTAAATGACTAAATCTGTTTATTTAAGAGTGCTGTCAAAATCTGATGGCCACTGGTATGGAAAATAATTTCTATTTTCCAGTATTTTTTCTCAAACTATTACATGAGGAAGATTGGGATAACCATAACGCTTTGCTTTTTCAGCCTTTCACAAAATAAATAGTCCAGAAGGCTATCATGGGCAATAATGCCAGAAGTGGCCAGAAGAAACCACATGCTGTAATTTCTGGAAAAAGTCACCCATCACAGCAGGTTGTTTCATCCCAAAGCCAAGCCTCAAGGCAGGTTGGAATGAATCTAAAGCCTGACTAATATATTTTATGAAAGTTATTCTGCATTGCTCAAGGTCTTGATTGAAATTGGGGTCTTGGCTGATTTCTTTTTGTAATCCTATTTCATAGTTGTTATTTGGAAATGTGCTATGTAGTCCTAAAGTCCAAAATGCTGAGTTCATTTTGGTTGTATATCATCACCCGCTACCCTTTCCTTTCCTCTGCGACACTGATGTCTTTATCTGCTTATCAATAAATTGCTTTAGCACAGAATTTAGAAAATAATGTCTTAGACCCTATTGATTCTGTTACTGTATATATTTCTGGTGAATAGTTCTCTGAGTTCAGGTATGACAGATTAAGTATGCCTTTCAGTCTTGATTAATTAATTAACTACCTGGAAAGTTTTTAGTTTGTATCTAAAATGTCTGAGAATTAGACATTTAACTAGAACGAGTTCAAAGGACAAAGAAAATTGGAATTGCTTATGCTAATTTAATTCTTTAAAAATAGTTCTTGAAGATTGCTGATGCCTTACAATAGTGTGTTATGCACTCATTTCATAATGGTTGAATTAAGCAGAGTATTTTTCCTCTGAGTGTTATAATAGTTGTCTCACGTACTGAGACATTATTACATTTAGATGTTTATAATTTTTTCCACAGGTGCACTAGAATTGTAGTCTGATTAACAAATGTGTTCTGTTAAGCAGAATCTAACCTCCATTCAGAAATCAATGGGAAAAGGCAGTAATATTTCAAACTCAAGCATGTAGGACAGATATGCTCCCTGAAACAGAAGATATCGACTCTTGCACACAAATACACCTTGCTTCATTCTGCAAGCTTCTGTCAATATTTTTTGGACAGGAGAGGTGGTTAAAGATCAAAGATCAGAGGGCTTGGATATTAAAAGGGCCCAGCAATTGCTGGGGAAACTAGGAAGGACCACAGTGGGAGAAGATAATCTCTGCTGAAGTTGCACCATGGATCTTATGCACAGTGCAGGAATCCAGGCCACCAGCTATCTCCAAGAGAATTTCATGGACTTTCAGGACTGGTTTCTCTTCATCTCAACAGTAGCTGATCTCAGAACAACTTTTTTCTTCTTCTTTCCTATCTGGTTCCAACTGAAGGAAGCAGTGGGAATCCGAATCATCTGGGTAGCTGTCATCGGCGATTGGTTCAACCTTGTTTTCAAGTGGTGAGCATGAGTGAGAATCCCTCATGGGGTCAAGAATAACTTCTCTCATTCTTCCAGGACAAAGACCAAAGTGACTTTTATAACCCTTCCTTGTTGCAAGTTGTTGATCTGGTGCTTAACTCAGAACATAGGTCTTTGTAACATGTGAAGCATGCAAAAGAATATAGTATACAGTAATATTAGAAAAAAACAATTATGCTTATATATTCCAGATTTTGACTCTTTTTTGAAGGGCCAGGACAATTCGTAATTTATAAGTTGTATGTAACGCTAAAGACTGTTGGCTGCGAAGCAAGAAAAGACTAAGGAGAGGGAGGTGATTGTGAAAAAGAAAACATTCACACTAGGTTTTCCTCCAAATAAGCATTTATGATTTCCAAGTTATATTTCATATAGGCCCCCTCGGAGAGTTGAATTTAGGACACTTAAGAAAAAGGGAGCGGGCTTGAAGACTGCCATTATTCTCTTCTCTTTCCCCCACCCGCTTAACCAGTTCTGCTCAAATAGTCTGTGCCTCCATTTGTTCCATGGATTTTTTATTCTCTGACTATCACAAACTGGGATTTGGGTATCATAAGGAAATTTTGTCTCCATATTATGAAAGAGGCTACAATTGCAATTTCATATACGTTTATTTGGGAATAATTTATACTGAATTTAAGCAGCTTTTTAAATAGATACCATGGTATACTAAATGTCCAGAATGTGCTCTCAGGCTCCAATCTAATTTAATTGGGAATCAATTTTACTATATATAAGGCATCTTGCTTTCTGAATAGGTAAATGTAATATTGTATCTTCCAAAAAAGTCATTGGCATTTTTAAATCTTACAATTTTGTTAATTCACAACTACTAGAATTTGATTTTCTTTATGAAAGAAGTCATACTGACAAGTACTCTAACCTGTACATTATAACATGCATTCTTCATTTTGTTGAAAAAATGAGATAGATTTTGCTGAATGAAGAAAAACAATAAAAGACTGTTGAAATTTTATTTTAAAATTCTAAGGGTAATTTTCTACTAGAACAATCCTCAAAGAACTTGCAAAAATTAAAATTAAAATTCAGAAAACAGCGGCCAGAGTAATAATTTTTTCTGAGTCGAATACTTTTGGCTTATAATTTTCATAATTATCAGTGCTAGGAAATATCTATCCCTATCCCTATTTGAAAGTCTATCTCTATTTGAAAGGCTTTTAATTCTAGAACTCCTGTTTTGCAGGCAAATCTGAACTTAGAAACTTGAAACTTTTTTTTTTTTTAATTTACAGAAACTTAAATTTTCTCTGGTATTCACAGAATTGTGAAGTGTCTATTTGATATCTTATGCCTGCTATGGCTTTGTCCTTTACTGGGATCAGGATTGCTTTTAATTTTCCTTCCTTTTAGGATCCTCTTTGGAGAAAGGCCCTACTGGTGGGTACATGAGACAGATTTCTATGGCAATGTAACACCCCCAGTAATCCGCCAGTTTCCCATTACCTGTGAAACTGGCCCAGGTGAGGTTGCAAGTGTTGAACCCCCTACTTTCCCAGTACCTTCCTTAATCCATTGCAGCTGCAGCCTTCCTTTCACTGATTCCTTTGTATGCATCTTCAGGTAGTCCTTCTGGTCATGCCATGGGGTCTTCTGGGGTCTACTATGTCATGGTGACAGCACTGCTTTCACAACTACTGCCACAGAAGCGAAACACCTTGAGAGGCAGGTAAGGTCTGCATGCCTGCTGTGCAGATGGGAGCTGAAACTTTATGTTTAGACATGGACATAACTGAGACAGCTCCTCTTTTGCTGTCCTGTCCTGTAAAGAAAGGTACATCTCCCCATTCCCCTCTAAGGAGAGGATATTGATATAAGACTACGGAAGAAAAACCATACCTAAACATTGTCTCAACTCACTGTCTCATTTTCAGATGGTTGTTTTTCATTTGTTTGCGATAATGGCTGCCACAATTAAGACAATAAGGAGTATTATCGATATGCAACATGAAATAAACTGTGTTCTTACACAGCAGTTTCAAAGTTGACTTCTAAATCAGCAATGCTAATTTTCATGAAATCAAGATTGAGATTCAACATTGAAGCATTATACTGGTAGTTCCTTATATCCACACAATTGAGTCCAAAATTTATATTGCTCAGTGAGATATGTGTTGAGTGAATTTCCCCCCATTTATGATCTTTCTTGCCACAGTTGTTCATTTTGTGGAGTTTCAGGGTCAGTGTCAGTCTTTCTGTTTTTGTTCAGTTGGTTTTGGGAACCTTTGGAAACATTTGACAAATATGTGCATTGAAACATAACTATGAAAACATCTGACTGACTGATTGTTTCAGGGAATCATCCATTTGTGAGGAGATGCCATGCAAAAGGAGATAACAAAATGTATTTTTGACTGCCAAACTGATTGGATAAATTTATTTAATCCTTAAGTGTAGGCACAGCAGGCATCTTGTCAGTTTATCATAGATACACAAACACATAGGATAGTAAAAAAAAAATCAGGATAAGAGCAACAGTGGGATGCATAAAGTTCTGCAAGGTTTGTATGTATACACATGTGCAGAACATATACAAACAGACATAACTTTGATTTCATGATCATGTCTACTATCTTGACTCTTTTAAAATCACATTGTACCCTGTGGCCATACGAAGTCTCAAAGTTACAGGTAGTTCCAAAAACAGGACAGCAGAAATTGCCTGCAGATATTGTTTCCTGCCCCCTTTCAAAGCACAGAGATTAGAGAAGGGATTACAAGAGTGTAAGCAGTATGAACTTCCGGTTTGTCGGCTTTGGCAGCGGCAGGGATTCGCGATCCTGCGCGATCCCTGTTGCGCTAGCCGTCTTGGTGCCTCCGATCCGGACGGGTCTGGAGGCTAAGGTTGCCCCGTAGAGGCAGCCGAAGATAGGAGGGATCCGGACAGGGGGTTGGGGTTTTCGCAGACCCCTTCCCCACCCGGCTTAACCCTCTTTTCTCAAGGCGGTGGAGCGGCGGTCAGCAATGGCCGCCACAAAGAAGCTGACAGCTGGATAAGATCGTGCTGGAGGAAGAAGGAGAAAATTCTGAAGCGAAAGTTTTTTGGCTGAACTGGGACTATAAGATACAAGTAATATCCTGAAAATCCTGATTTTTTGAAAGATACTTTGTTTCCAGAAGAGATTTACAAGCGGCGAGTGAAAGTGCTTAAAGAGAAAGTTTACTCTCCTTCCACATGGATTTAACAAATGGATATTGAAAATCCTGCTATTTTACAGAAGGTAAAAATTTAAAGCTTTCTGTTATAAGTGGGAAGGGAGAGGACAAAAGGAAAATTTTTATTAAGATTTTGTTGGAGGAGATGCCTGGAAGATTTTGAGATTGGAAGTTAATTGCAATAAGACTTTAAAATACAGATTGGTGTTTTTTTTTCCTTGCCAATTGATATTACCCCAGGAAGAAAAAGTGTGAAGAACTTTGTGCTCTGTTTGGATTGTTTGATGACTTTGGGGTTTTGGGGAATTGTTTCAAGCTTTGAATTATCTTGGTTGTTTTAAGAAGAAGAAGAAAAGAAAAAAGAAGAAGAAAAGGTTTATAATGGCTTTATCTGTTGATGAACTGAGAGAGGAATATGGTAAAATAAAAAAAGAAGGTAAAGACGGTGGGAGAGAAATTTTTCGCTTTTTAGAAATGGCGCTTGCCACTTATCAACAAACACAACAATTAATGGAGGAGGAGGAGGAGGAGGAGGAGGAGGAGGAGGAGGAGGAGGAGGAAGAAGAAGAAGAAGAAGAAGAAGAAGAAGAAGAAGAAGAAGAAGAAGAAGAAGAAGAAGAAGAAGAAGAAGAAGAAGAAGCCATCTTTAACGAGTCTACAAAGTTGATTAAGAAAGGAAGGAGAAAGAAAGGAAGGAAAAAGGACATAAGACTTAAAAAAACATCCAAGAAAGAGAAAAATCAATACAATGTTAGAAAGCAAAAGAAAAGAGAAATACAACAGAGAGGGGAGGCTAAGGGGGGTAAAAAGACCAGATGGGATAAGATAGGAAGGAAGAAGGAGGGAAAAAGCCACAAAGGTATGAAACAAGATGTGAAAAAGAAATCTTTTTTTAGGGATAATGGGTAATGCATAACTTTGTTTTAAAATGTTTCTGCAAGGTACATAAGATAGTATTGTAGTATTTGTATTAGAAATAGAAAAATAGAATTTTATAAGACTTAAGTAAAGATTAAAACATTAAAGGTTTAATAATGATAGATTTTAAGATTTAATAAAATATTAAAAGGAATGTTTAAAATATTTAGTTTAAGTATAGAGTTTAATTGACTATTGTGTGGATGTTTGTATGAACTTATTATTATGGTATTTGTTTTTGAAATAGATAATTGGAATGTTATGAGATTTAATGTTTAATTATATATTTAATTACTTTATGGATTTACTATTTTAGTAAGTAGAATGTACTAAGCAGAATTAGATAGGGAACTAGGTGTTACCTTAAATGTTAATTTAGGGGAGCGATGGAAAGGCATCATACTTCGATTAGTGATTTCAGGAGAAATCTTTTTTTTCTAATATGAATGAGATAAATGGATAATTGGAAAAGAATGGACAAAAGATACAAATATAATGATTTAAATTAAGATGAAATAAATAAAATAGAATTAAGAAGAGTGGAAAGCGGGGAGAAGTTATAATGAAGATATAGAAGGGTAAATAAGATAGGTAATGGCATATAAGTTGAACATGAATTTAATTGAAGTCCATACAAAGAGAGGTAATCCGGGGCCAAGCTACTTTTTAAAAAGAAGTTTTATGTTTTTGTGTTTTGTGTGTGTATGTTTGATTGAGATTTAATAAAACCTTGGGAGAAAGTGAGAAGAATAATTGTAAACAAGGCAGAGGGAAATATGAATATGATGAGTATAAAATGGATAAATATAGAAGAAATGTAATTGAATAAGAGCAAAGAGAAATAATGAGAAATCTGTTAAAAAATATTTAAGTGGAAATGGGATATATTAGAATTATATTGTATAAAACAATGTTTTATCTGCCTTGTAAAAATTTATAATGGAAAGAGGTTTAATGTCTTTAATGTCTAATGATGCTTTGTTTGTTTCTAAAATTAATAAAATTTGTTTCAAAAAAAAAAAAAAGAGTGTAAGCAGTATGTGCCTGCTTATTTTCTTGTAATCCCTTCCTGTCCAATCTCTCAGTGCTGAAAGTGAAGGGGGGAAAAAAACAGCAGATCAGCACAGGGCAACGCATACTGATTCCAATGATAATCGCATGACTGAGGGATACTGTGAAGGTCATAAATGCAGACACTGGTGGTAATGTTATGTTTTCAGTGTTTTTATAACATTGAACAGTCACCATGTGAAGCAGTTGGTAAGTGAGGACTATCTTCATTTAACTAATTCATTCTAGAATTAGCTAAATGAAATTGCATTTCTTGCTCTGGCACAATATTCAAAGGACAGATTGGCCTTTAGCCTAAGATGTCTCTCTTTGGTGCAATTAAGAACTCCTACTTTTGCGCTGATCTTCCCCATTCCAGGTGGCTCCATGGTCTTTTTTGGGCAGGATTCTGGGCTATACAAGTCTGTGTCTGCTTGTCCCGAGTGTTCATTGCTGCACACTTCCCACACCAAGTGATTGCTGGTGTTATTTCAGGTAAGCTATTCCTAGTCTTGAATAAATAAAAGAATAAAACTCTACATATAAATATCAGAGGACACCAACTCAATCAATAATTGACTTATTCCACAGGATTACTGGTGGCTGTGATTTTTGAACAAGTCCATTCCATCTACACTGCCACCTTCACGCGATACGTTGGAACCATTGGTTTCCTCTTTGGTTTTGCCCTAGTCTTCTACCTGTTGCTGAAGATGCTGGGTGTAGATCTCTTATGGACAATTGAGAAGGCCCACAAGTGGTGTGAACAGCCTGAATGGGTCCATATTGACACAACCCCTTTTGCCAGTCTGTTATGCAATCTGGGCATTTTGTTTGGTCTGGGATTTGGACTCAACTCCCCAATGTATGCAGAAATGTCCAGAGGGAAGCCAAGCCAAGGGCTGATCTTCCACTTCAGTTGCATTGTTTTTTCACTGTTAATCCTGCACCTGTTTGATTCCTTTGAAATACCCACTGATCAGGAGATCCTCTTTTACATTCTCTCATTCTGTAAGTGCACTTGTGCCCATATCTGTGCAGTGGCCCTCATCCCCTATAGCATTTTCTGCCTCCTTCAGCAGACAGACAAGAAAGATTCATAAAGGAACAAATATCCTGCTGTAGAGCTACTTTGGACATGTATCTTCAACTCTGAAGACTAAAGGTTTATAAACTAAAATATGTTGTTGTCTGTTTCGTGAATGATCAAACAGAGACTTAATCCCTTCCATGCACTGAATGAATATAGCTGCCTTCAGACAGAAATAATTTGATATCCTGACTGGATGGACAGGGAAGAAAAGCATAGATATATTTAATCCAGAAAAGAAAGTGGAGTGGTATTTGGGATGTCTCTTAGAAAAGCTTTTACAACCAGAACAGAAGATGACTAACTTATCTACTAGTTTGCAAACAAGCCAGAAACAGTTACAATCAGACTTTTAATAGTAGCCTGGAAGAATAATTTGCTGTATTTGCACTGTCTGCTTCCCCTGCCCGCCTGGTTCCTTGTTTATCATAGATTTTCCCCCCACTTTTCATGTGAATGTTTGTGCATTTATCTCCAACCAACGTCAGGCACAAATCTTGCTCTTTACCATTTTCTTATCACTTTGGACCATATTTAATCTTAGACAAGAACAATGGATAATCAAGGAGAGAAGCAACCTAGAACTGAGAAATTTCCTAACAGTGAGAGCAATAAACACTAGAAAAGCTTTCCTGTGGAAGCTGTGGGTGCTCCATCACTGGAGGTTTTTAAAGAGAATGGACAGCCCTTTGTCTGAAATGGTATAGGGTCTCCTGGTTGAGCAGGGGGTTGGACTAGAAGACCTCCAAGGTCCCTTCCAATCCTGTTATTCTATGTTCTAATCAAGTTACTGTACATTCTGATGACATAATGGAGGCTTTTTCTTCCACTTGTAATCATATGTTTGGTAGAACCAAAGCAGAACCATAAATCATCAGACTGATGCAGGGTTAAATTTATATATCATTTTTTAACACCTAAACAATTTAGGCACTTTCTTAGACTCGCATTTCTATGCCTGATTTTCAGAAAATGATTCAGAATCATATCATGGTACTTCTTGAGCAAAGTTATGTACTAAATAGCTTGTACATAAGCAAATGAACAGTAACAGGTTGTTATGTAAGAAGAAAACTTATTCACCTCCCTCTCATTAATATCATGCTGCCTGCTGGTGCAGTGGTTAGAATGCAGTACTGCAGGCTAATTCTGCTTACAGCCAGGAGTTCGATCCCAGTGGGCTCGACTGATTCAGCCTTCCATCCTTCCAAAGTCGATAAAATGAGGACCCAGATTGTTAGGGGCAAGATGATGATCCTAAGATATAACGGATTTAAAATGATCTTACCAATTTGGTGCTCTCCAGATGTGTTAGGAATACAACCTCCAAAATGTCCAGCTAACTGGACAATTGCTGAGAATTCTAAGCATAGCAGTCCTCATATATTCAGAGGAGGCCAAATTAGCCAAGACTGAGCAAAGAATTATGCCTGTTAAACTCCTTTACAAATGGTTCAGCAGAAGACAATTTGGGGAAGACAACATACACTATTAGAAACAAATATATCAGCAAACATCTGTAATGTTTAATTTGTGATATTGAAGCATCACAAATTTTATGGAAAAATTTATCATAACACATCCCTGAAAAATGCAATTCTTCTCTATACCAAAAAACTGCTTGGTTTATGGTGAAGTTTCTTTCTACAGACATATAATAAAGGTTCCAGACATGCTTGTTTTACATACCACACCTCTCTTACATATTTTATCTCTTTCATATCTAGTAATACTCCTCTTCGCAGCATTAGACCACCGATAATTTTCTTCTGGTGATACTGGCACACTCAAAAAACAGAAACACAAATTATTGTATTATTAAATAGTCCTTGAGGAACAATTATGGCTGAAACTTTGCTTCTTCCCTAATTGCACTATTGTCCGGATACCCAGTCATTGTTCTGAGTTCTATTTCCTGGCGAATGCCTGAAGAAGGGCCTCCACTTCTGATCGTTGGCTCATCCTTGTAGCTTTGCCCTGATAGCGCCCCTGTTTTCCTGCTCCTTTTCCTTCCAGTAGTTCAGCAACTCTTGTGGGAAGAACAAGAGGTGAATCAATAAGTTTAGTTAGATTGGATTCCCCTTACTCATCACTTGAGCAAATGACAAAACAGACCAGAGCTCCATTCTCAATGGACACCAAATTAATAGCTTGATTGTACTTCAACTGTTTTGAATAACTCACCTGGGGCCCAGTTTCTCCACTGCTTCTGAAGGTCCTGCCAGCAAAAAAAGCCCAGCTGCTTTTTCATCTCCCACAGATAAGAAAAGAAGAGTTTCCTGTTGAAAGGATAGTGTTTCAGATCTAATGCTGCTAAACAAAATTTTTACAAGTACTATTCAATCATTGCTCAAGCTTCCTAACAGACAGAAAGCAGCAGGTGAAGCTAGGCGGAATCACATGATATCTGTACAATTAGCACAGGGGGCCCCCCAAGCCTGTGTGCTTTTTCCACTTCTCTTCTCCCTATATGCCAATGACTGCATCTCAAAAGATCCCTCTGCTAAAGTACTGAAGTTTGCAGATAATACAACAGTGATTGGTCTCATTTGAGACAACAACGAATCTGCATACAGACGGGTGGTTGAACAACTAGCCTTGTGGTGCGACTGGAACAATCTTGAACTAAATACACTCAAAATCGTAGAAATTGTGGTAGGTTTTAGGAGAAACCCTCCTATACTACCACCTCTTATAATACTAAACAACACAGTAGCAACAGTAGGGACCTTCAAGTTTCTAGGTTCTATCATATCTCAAGACCTAAAATGGACACCTAACATCAAAAACATAATAAAAAAGCACTGCAGCTGGTCATAAATGCGTATTAGTTGCCAAGCACCCAAATTGTTATCATGTGACGTGTGTGTGTGTGTGTGTGTGTGTGATGTGACAGTCATAAGTGCAAGAACAGGTTGTAAATCACTTTCCTGAGGTCATTTTTTCTTTCAACCATTATTAAATAATAGCTGTTAAGTCAAGAACTACCATAACTAGGATTGTCAACTCCATCACTAAGAGACATGGTCATGAAATATGACCATGTATAGACTTATAATAGCAGTTGCAGCAGTTCCAGTTGTGATTGTTAGGCGGATCCCCATGCTGTTACACTGTCCCACAGTTACATGGTTTTAATTTATAACCACCTGCCATCATTCCCATTGATTTTTTGTTGGAAGCCAGCTGTGAAGGTCACAGATGGTGAGAACATGACCCAGCACACTACAACTCTCATCATTGTGAGCTGGTTGCGAAATTCCTGAATTGTGATCACCTGACAATGGGAACACCGCAACAGCCACACATTATCAGGAACAGTCATGAATCTCCTTGTTCACTGCTGTTATATTTCGAATGGTTTTTGAACAAATGGTTGTTAATATCTATCTGTATCAGAAACAGGAACTCCCTTTAAATTTAAAACAGGAACTCTTCAATAAATATTTGTTGAAGATTTCCTATTTTAAAAATTAGAGAAAAGACTCACCCCAGAGCCAATTTCATTTGCAAGTATATTCATGAACTCGGAGTCACCATCTTTCCTGTAGAGAGGAGAAAGATATTCCATGATCCCCTAAGAAGAATAGAAAAATTCTTTCCTATTTTTAAAACTTTGTAAGAAATAAGTCCAAACTTGCACTCTCTTACCATTCTCTGTAGCAGGTCTATCAGACACACAAAGAGGAAAACATCAATGCCCGTGTTGGTTTGATAATTTAATTTGTATTAACTTCAGCTTTTTGGAAATTTAAAATATAAATACACTTTTGCTTGATGGAGCTTCAAAGGATTTATTATTAACAGAGTTCTCATGACACTAAAATGTTCTTGTGGATAAAATTAAATATCATTTTATGTTTGTGGGTGTATGGGAGATGAGGATGACTTCAATTATCTTGAATTTCCCCTTATCTAAGACATTTGTTGGTTCCACCATACTGATATTGTCAGACTAGTGTTGACTCTTAGCAAACATATAAATAGATTTTCTCATGGTGATCTGCCAAATTAGCCAAGCTTAAAACATATGGAGTCTTTTCCCTCACCTGTGTAAGACAAATACTGGCTGTTCAACTGTGGTGTTTTTGAAGTTCTGCGCTGTAAGAACAGCTAAATCTCTTAGCAAATTCACATTATTCTGAAAAAAGAAGTACATTATGGATGTGTTACATCCAATCAATTGCTACATTCAGCAAAGATTAACTGACTAAGGAAATGACTGAGCAGGGAAATTCCTAGCAAGGTAAAAAAAAAGGACAAGGATGCAATAAATGTTACTGAGTTTCTCCATGATCAAACTGTCCTCTACCCATCTGGATTCTAACCACATGTAATTTTGTGCTGGGAGACCAGACCTTGGATAGTCCTGAAAGGCAAGTAGGACTAATCTTCCTGCAACTGGTTCTCAATCTGATCCTTCTGGAGGCTAGATGACATCCTTCCAGGTGAACCCTGAAAACTGCAGTCCATAGTCACTATCGTTCCAAACCAACCCATCTTCCTCAAACCTGATTTCCATATTCCATTCCTAAACATGCTCCTCTTTAAATTGCTTTCCAATATCTTATTCTAACATAAAGTTGACTGTGTATCTTGCTGTGGTTACTGTAAAGCCAGGCTTGAAACTTTCCATGACAGAAAATGAACTTTCCATGACATAAACCTACCTTCTGAAGCAGCTTCAGAGAGCTCTGCAGTCTTTTCACGGCTTCTACATGTTCTTCGGGACCGTTCCTAAAATACAAGGGCAACCGCAGGATTCAGGAAAGTCTGTATAGTCAGGGGTGGGATTCATATTTTTTTAACAACTGGTTCTATGGTCATGGCTTGGTGGGCGTGGCTTGGTCATGTGACTGGGTGGGTCAAAAGAGAGAAACTCACTTTAACAATGCTCTTGGAGCAGAGGGTTGGACTAGATGACCTCCGATGTCCCTTCCAGCCCTGGATTGCTGTGCAGTTTCAAAGCATCCTCTGAAGCTGTGTCTAGTGCCAGGGTTTGTGGTCCTTCCTTCCTTCCTTCCCTTTCTCTCTCCCCTCCCTCTATCCATCCATCCATCATCCATCCATATCTCATTCACTTTCCTTTCCCTCTTCCTCCCTTCCCTCTCTCTTTCTTTTTCTTTCTCCCTTCCCTCCTTTTTTCTTTCTCTTCCTTCCCTCCTTCTTTCTCCCTTCTCTCCCTCCCTCTTT